AAGATGAGCTCGCAACCCTCGACGAACCTGCTACCCTCGAAGATTTAATTCGCCTCTCCATTAGATTGGATAATAGAATCCGTGCCCGAAACAGTTCAAAGAAGCAGGGTACACTTTCTTCTGCCTCACATAACGTGACTGTTTGTTCTCCCTCTACAGAGCAGCTGCCCATTCAGAGACTTAAGTCCCAGACTCTACCGTTGCCTGTTCAGGCCTCTCATTCCGGCGAAAGGGATGTCGAACCCATGCGGGTGGGACACACCAGGCTCACTCCAGAGGAGAGACAAAGGCGATTTCTAAGCAAACTATGTATCTACTGTGGTGTGAGTGGACACTTCATTGTTTCCTGCCCGGCTAAATCAAAAGCCTGGGCCCGCCAGAGGATCTGAGGAGTCTGGCGGGCCAAATAAACACTAAGAAATCTCCTCGACTGTTGCTGCCTGCCACGCTTTTCTGTGCTAATCAAAGCCTCTCTTTCTCTGCCTTCATCGACTCAGGCTGTGAACGTAACCTAATCGATTCAAACCTCGTCCAGCAACTCCAAATTGAAACCATTCCGCTGACTCAGCCTCTCAGTGTATTCGCTATTGACGGAAAAAGACTCCATCAAGTTACCCACCAAACTCAGCCCCTCGAGCTACTTCTGTCAGGTAACCACCGAGAGACAATAACATTTTTTGTTTTTCCCTCTGCATGTTCCCCGCTGGTGCTCGGTTTCGAATGGTTGGAGAAGCATAATCCTCACATTAACTGGACTGAACGTCACCTGGAATCATGGTCCATCTCATGCCACGAGACATGCCTTCGTTCTGCTGCCCCCTTGGTGGGGTCTCCTAGAGGTGGGGGGGAGATGGACTCTCCTGACCTTTCTTCAGTTCCTTCTGAGTACCATGACCTAGCCCCTGTCTTCAGTAAGGTCAGTGCGACGTCCCTACCTCCACACAGACCATACGATTGCGCCATCGAACTTTTACCTGGTGCTCCTCTACCTAGCAGCAGACTGTATAATATTTCCAAGCCCGAGAGAGAAACAATGGAAAAATACATCAACGAGTCATTAGCTGCTGGAATAATTCGCCCATCATCCTCTCCGTTGGGCGCCGGGTTCTTCTTCGTAGGGAAGAAGGATGGTTCCCTAAGACCATGTATTGACTATCGAGGTTTGAACCAGATTACTATTAAAAACAAATACCCACTGCCTCTCCTTGCCTCTGCTTTTGAACCCGTACAGGGAGCAACTGTGTTTTCTAAACTGGATCTACGAAACGCTTATCATCTCCTTAGGATCCGTGAAGGCGACGAATGAAAAACTGCCTTCAAAACACCCTTGGGCCAATTCGAATATCTAGTCATGCCCTTTGGGCTAACTAACGCTCCAGCCTGCTTCCAGGCCCTCGTAAATGATGTTCTAAGAGACTTTCTCAATGTGTTTGTTTTCGTGTACATTGACGACATACTCATCTACTCCAAAAACCTTGATGAACACAAGAAACATGTCCGCCTTGTCTTACAGAGACTGCTGGAAAACAAGCTGTTTGTGAAAGCCGAGAAGTGCGAATTTCATCAACCTTCAGTCACCTTTTTGGGGTTTGTGCTCGAGGGCGGCCAGGTAAAACCTTCTGAGGACAAAATTAAGGCAGTTTTAGACTGGCCAGTTCCAGAGAACCGCAAACAGCTACAAAGGTTTTTGGGTTTTGCTAACTTCTATCGTCGGTTTATCAGAAACTACAGCCAGACAGCCCTTCCATTAACTTCTCTGACCTCTGTCAAACGCAGTTTTCAGTGGACTCCCGAGGCTCAAGCAGCGTTTGAAAAACTAAAATCATTGTTTTCCAGAGTACCAGTCCTTATTCAACCTGATCCGGCTAAGCAGTTTATCCTTGAGGTGGATGCTTCAGATTCCGGTGTTGGAGCAGTCCTATCCCAGAGACTCGACTCTGATCAAAAAATACACCCTTGTGCTTTCTTCTCCCGTAGACTTTCTTCTGCAGAGCAAAATTATGATGTGGGTGACCGGGAGCTTCTGGCCATAAAACTGGCGTTGGAGGAATGGAGGCATTGGCTGGAGGGAGCTGAGCACCTGGTTCTTGTATGGACAGACCACAAGAACCTGGCTTACATCCGGTCAACCAAACAAGCTAATCCCCGCCAATCCAGGTGGTCAATCTTCTTTTCTCGGTTCAATCTCATCATCTCCTACAGACCCGGATCCAAGAACGTGAAGCCCGATTCTCTCTCTCGTCTCTACTCCGTCGATCATTCCGAGACACCTGAACCTGTTCTTCCGGCTTCCTGTACAGTGGGAGTGGTCAACTGGGAAATAACTGACCTCATCAACTCAGCCCTGGCCACTGAACCCGATCCAGGTAACGGTCCTTCTAACCGAACCTATGTTCCATCTTCCGTCAGGTCCCGTCTCATCCAGTGGATGCATGCCGCCAAATTCTCTGCTCACCCAGGAGTCAGTAGGACTGTAGCTCTCATCTCCAGACGCTTCTGGTGGCCCACTCTCCACAGGGACGTTAAGGAGTATGTGTTGGCTTGCCCCACATGTGCCCGTAACAAAGCCTCACACCAACCTCCTTCTGGCCTGCTTCAACCACTTCCTGTTCCCTCGCGTCCTTGGTCCCATATCGCCATTGATTTCGTCACCGGTCTCCCTGTCTCTCGAGGTATGTCCACCATATTCACTATTGTTGACCGTTTCTCGAAGTCTTGCCATCTAATTCCCCTCAGAAAACTTCCCACGGCCTTCCAGACAGCCCAGCTTCTCATCAAACATGTTTTCCGGTTACACGGTATTCCCCAAGAGATCCTCTCGGACAGAGGTCCACAGTTCATCTCCCAGGTCTGGAAGGCTTTCTGTTCCGCTCTCGGCTGCAAACCCTCTCTCACCTCTGGTTATCACCCCCAATCGAATGGTCAGACCGAGCGTATGAATCAGCAATTGGAATCCACCCTTCGCTGCCTCACGTCAAACAACCCCGTGGACTGGAGCCAATTTCTTCCCTGGATAGAATACGCTCATAACTCCCTCAAATCTGCATCTACTGGACAGTCCCCTTTTCAGGTCATTCTCGGCTATCAACCACCCCTTTTTCCCGCTGACGAGAGAGAGATTTCGGTGCAGTCCGTCAACCAACACATCCGCCGTTGTCAAAAGATCTGGAGGGAAACCATCGCCACACTCAACCGGTCATCTGAGTCAACAAAACGCTTCGCCGACGCCAGTAGACGTCCCGCCCCCGAGTACACCGAGGGCCAGGAGGTATGGCTGTCCACTCGAGACATCCCCCTCAAGGGGATGTCTCGAAAACTCTCCCCTAGATTCATCGGACCCTACAGGATCACTCGAGTCATCAACCCCTCAGCCATCCGTCTTCATCTACCTCAGTCCCTCCGAATCCACCCTACCTTCCACGTGTCTCAGATCAAGCCTGTCTCCTCGAGCCCTCTGTGCCCACCGTCCGACTCCCCACCACCCGCCCTGGAGGTCGATGGTCATCCGGCCTTCACGGTTCGCCGCATCGTGGACTCCCGTCGACGAGGTCGCGGTTGGCAGTACCTCGTCGACTGGGAGGGCTACTGACCGGAGGATCGCCAGTGGGTTCCAGGCTCGTACATCCTCGATCCAGCCCTTATCGAGGAGTACGAGCGTTCCTGCCCATCAACCTCTTCCGGACCGCCAAGGGGCGGTCGTTGAGGGGGGGGTACTGTTGGGAGCTGGAGAAATTCCACCTTTCTCCAGCAGAGTCCGCCGTGGATCCTCTGAGGGAGCTCGTCAAGATCATCAGAGGATCCACTACTTAAGCTGTCTTCAGACCTTGCCTCAACGCCGCAGTGTTGTTCCAGTTGGAAACCTGTGCCTCCTCTGTGAAAGCTCAGGAAGAGCTAACCTGCCGAGCCGACCCTCAGAGCCAAACCTGAAGATTCACAGAGAACCTCCAAGCAGCTCTGGACTAGAGCTGGAAAACCCAAAGCCAAGGTCTGTTCAAATTAGACGTGAGACGCTGAAGCAGCAAACGGACTCTGCTGATGAACTCCTCTCCAGAACCAACAGTGACTCTCCCAAAGCTAACCTCAAGAACCCTCAAGGTACAATCAGTAATCTTCAGGAAACCAAACCTCTGTTGGCAACGCTAACTGAACTGTCTCTCACGCAGACTCAGGTGAACCAGAACCCAGGCCCCGAACCTGAACCAGTATATTCTGTGTGCTTGTCCTTAAATAAACTGTTAAACTTTCATCCTTGTGTCCGTCAGTGGTGTTCTGCATTCTTGGGTCGCTTTTAGTGAACCCATCATGACAAGTAATCTGTTTTCTCAGCGTATTTCAGGTTGCTACTAGTTACCAGACACTCAACTTGTTTGTTGGTGGTGGGGTTAAAGAAAAGGCACTAGCGTCACCCAGTGTATGAGCGTTTTTTTTCCTTGAGGAGCTCCGCTCTCGAAGCCTATGAGAAATGCATAGACTGGGGGGAAATAGCCCCACCTTCTCGCAGGCTGCAGCGGGATGTACTTGGAAAATTGTACCATAAAACCACATAGCGTTAATCTCACGTTAAAAAAATTATCGCCGTTAAATTGGCCTCGCGTTAACGCGATAATAACACGATAATTTTGACAGCACTAATTACAACATAATTTTAGTCTCTTTTTCCCCCAAAAACTTTACACAAGATGAAGCAACAGTGACATTAAAACCTTTATTGCATAAAATTCCAATAAAACATTGAAGATTTTTACTGGAATTTCAATTTAAGTTCTTAATTGTACAAAATTCAAAAGGTATTAATACTGTTTGTTTTCATTTTTAGACCGAACCAAAATTCTTTGCTGGTTATTAATCCATAGCGACATGGCCTAAAGGGCCCTGGATAAGGATCTACGACCAAATTAACAGCAGACATGTTTAAAAGCTCCACTAATATGGGAGCTGTCAGAGCTAATATAAGCTGAATGTTACTGCAACACTCTTAATTTGGAGATGGCTCAGCATACCTGTAGGGCACTGGCAGATATAGTCTCCAAGCAAATCAGAGCATGTGCCATTGTGCTGACATGGGCTGGAATCACACTCGCTGATCTCAGTTTCACATGTTGTTCCTGGAAAAAGAAGTTAAAGCATTATGCAATCAGTAATATACATATAAAATTTACTAGTGTTCACAAAGTGGAAACATTGCTCTTTATATTGCCTAAATAAAAGAAGAAAGAAGCTCCTCTCCCAAATAATTGTTTAGCTAGACCCACAAGTGAAAACCTGAAAATAATGGCTGTAAGAAAATCTAAGATTAATCCTGGAATAAATAATTAAGGAATGTAGAATGATTGTACTAATACTTTATTTTTAATTGGCCCTTTGGAGCAAATGGCCATAACCTTAATATTTAGATGAAGATTGTAGTAAACCAAACATGCTGAGGATGAAGACTGCTTGACAGAGATATGTGATAGATGCCCAGTGTTCCGAGCAGATGCTTGGTCATAACCTTTGGTTGGCAGAACTTTATACACCAATTATTTGTTTAGACTACACTGATGGTAACCTAGCTCTACTGACACAAACTGTGATATGTTCTAGAGTAGGGGAGATCAAGGATGATTGCGTGATGGGAAAGAGCTGAAAAAGCAGCAGTTCCAACAGTTAGGCAACAGATAGCAGAGAAGTCACATGATCATCTTAGCATTTAGCCATTTGGCCCCTACGCTTGCAAGGTGAATCTGAAGACTAAAAGCTGTTATGTTCAAATTTTTGTGAGAAAAGGTGATTCAAAGGATTTTTTTTTTATTTGACCCGTACTTGTACTCATCCTCTTCTACTTATCGAGGACCAGGTCGTGGAGGAAGTAGTCTAAACGGAAACTCCCAGAGATCCCTCTACTTCTCCAGTCTGCCAAGGCCTTCAGAATCAGAATTGCTGGCTGATCTTACCTTAACAGTATTAGTGAGGAAAGTTTTCTTCAACCAATCAGACTTTAGATTTGCTCCAATGGTTCAGCTAGTGGGCCCACCCCAATGTCAGACTTTTCTGTCCCCTGATTAGAGCAAAATGTTTACTGACCTCAATGGTTGATACTAAATGAAGATACTAGGACTTCCTGCATAAAGACAGAAGGATGGATTTTGTTTACAGATAATCAGCATCTCTAGTGAGTGTGATATATTTTTTTCATTCTTTATGTGCTATTTTATCTGGTAACTAGATCCATATTGAATATGAATGTTTGCTGCTGATGTAAATGTGGCAGAGCGATGGTTATAGAGTAGAGGACTGCGGTTGTCTTAATTGGCTTCTTGCTTAAATGATCTGTGTATTTACCCTCACACTAATCTTCTTCGCGGTTATATCTGTGTTTGTTACATTTCATATTTGTATACTATTCCTAAGGGGCGGACCTGTTCTTCCAATTAAATTTGCATGTTTTCAAAGCCAACACAAGGCTTTTTTGGGGCTCCTGTATAAAACTTGGACCTCATTCTGACATTTTTTATTCAAAAATCTTCCAGGATCGGAAGCAAAATGTCTTCAAACTTGGAAAAAAAAAGTCCAGTAGATTGTTTGTTAACTTTTTTGGAATACTATTAGGGATTTCTGTTAATAAATGGTGAAATAATCCAAGTCAACTACTGTGTAGTCTGTATAATTTTGAACTTATATATATGGTCAGTACAGTTGTGCAGTGCAAGCGCACTAACCCAAGTCAACTACTACGTAGTCTTCCATTAGCTCTCAACAGTGCAGATATTCTAAGGGAAACATATTCCAGACTTCTACATTTTTTTTTCTTTTTGAATGCTTTATTGTGCTACATACACTCTTTTTATATTGTCTGTTATACAAATATTTTTTTATCTTTAATCGCATCTTGCTTTAACCCTTTGTACTCTATATGAGCTACCGGAACCAGAATTTCCATGAAGGGATAAATAAAGATGGGGGTCTATATCCTAGTCTAAAATGCGATAGTGGTGATATTAACCCCTGGACACCCATTGTTGCAAATTGACGTCCAAGAGTAGATAAAGTTGAGGGGTACCCACTGAAGGTACTGTACCATATGCACTGTCTGCCACTATTAAGAGCCATATCTCAAAGAATCAGGAAGTCAGATATTCTGCAGCAAAAGGTGTTACCATTATCCCCCATCTCCTCTACATGCATACTTGCCGTCGATTCATGTATTTGATTGCAAATGTTGTGCACAGGGAAGTTAGGAAAATGTGTCTTTTTATTTCATTAGCTACAACTATCATCTTTTATGAGTCAAAAATGCTGTATTTGGGCAAAATAAATATAAATATATGTTCATATATTTATTAAAGTAGTGTTTTTCTTTAAAGAAAAACAGATAATAGCCATGTTATTCAATCTGACAAATCACCTCTTGGACCTTATTGTAGCTTTTCAAATGATCAATAGCAGGAGAATCTGAAACGAGGTACCATTTTCTGATGCCTGACTTTAAAAACACAGCAGTATATAGTAGGGCTGGGAGATAATTCAATAACGATATATATCGATCGATAGACGTGTGGCGCAATAGAAAAAAATAGGCTCGATAAAAGTTCGATAAAAAAACGCAGTTTTCCTTCCTTCCCATTGTAGCCTAGCATGTAGGTTTATGCTAGTCACTGCTTCCTCCCAACCAATCACAATCGCGGACCCAGGCACGTCGTCACAAAGCGCCGCCCTCTCAAACCACAACACAGAGCACATGAAGCTGTCGCAGCAAGGAGAGGCGGAGGAAATTGTTCCAAAGAAGGGTTTTTGAAGTTTGCCAGTTTGGCAGTATTTCGGTCATGGCAAGTCAGACAAAAAACAAACCACAGTCATCTGTAAAATGTGTAGGGAACCAGTGAAAACGAAGTCTGATAACACAACCAACTTTTTTTTTTTTTATCATCTCAGCCGCTCACAGCCGCAGGAGTACGAGCTGTGTAATCCCCGACGCGGCTCTCCTCCGAGGAATCTTCGGGAATTTCGGGAAAATATATATATAAAGTTCTGGGCAGTTTCCCACGTAGTTCTAACAATTGACAGAAAGATGCTGAGGGGCCAGCAACTTTAAAGTACTAACTCAGGTTAAAGCAGGAAACTAAGTCTGTGGAAGTCTGTGTTTGTGTTCTTTATTAAAATTAAATAATTTAGCAATATCATAAAATGTCCAGGCAGAGCTGCACATAAAATCTTTTCAATAATTATCGATATCGATCAATATGCATTTTTTTTTTATCGATAAGCTTTTTTTCTATATCGCCCAGCCCTAGTATATAGTCATATTCACAAAATAAAAAATATTACCAAAAAAATGTATTTCAGAAACAATTAGAAACAATTAACTAAGCAGAACACTATATACACACACACACGCACACACACACATATATATATATATATATATATATATATATATATATACACATAAAAGTTGCTTTTACTAACAAACAGTTAATTAAGAAGCATATTGTAATTTATTGAAAATGAATGTAGTTTTTTGTTATTCAAATAAGGATCTTTCTCATAGCCTAACTTTAGCCACAATCATCCTGCCAAATGACAAATACTTTAACAGAAAGGTTGCTGCAGTCCCGTTTGTCCATCTATCTCATAGTACCCACTCTGCCAATTTTTCTCCAGAGATATCCAGAGATAGCTTTGAGTGCAGGAAAGATGAACAGAGATCAGCTGAAACTTTTGTCGTTACATTTCAGACTATTAAAAAAAAGCAATTGATTTATAAAGGAGAAGGGAGATAAACATTCAATTAACTTGAACTATGTTAAATGACATTACAGGCAATATAGTGAGTCATGAAATCTTAGACGCTACAAACATTGGCCTAGCATTTTAGTAAATATGTTATATAGAGAGGGAGGAGCAGGATTATAGTTTCTTGTAATTAAGATATATCATTAAAAAGAAAAATCTCCCAGACATTCTCCTTTTGTGACTGAAATTTGAACAACAAAAATATGACTTAGTGCCCTTGATGTCATCCTTGGGTGAACTATACTGCACTTTTTAAGCTAAACACAGTCCTGGTTTTACAGCTAAGAAAATATCAGAATGGGACAGTTTTTTTTGTTTGTTTGTTTGTTTGTTTTTTATTTATTTATTTTTTTTTATCAGAAAAGCATTGATCATCATGACAGGGAAATTCCCTAAAAAAAATTACATGTTTTGAAAACCTTATTAGAAAGACTACTGTATGACTCTGAGGAAGCTGAAAATGACCATCCCAGCAGTAATTAATTATGGTTTTATAAAGAAAATCAAAATATATTTGCCCATAATATCAACAGTTGGCTATATAAAATGTCCGATCTCGTTAGTTAATTCTATATAAATCACATGAAGACAGCAAAGAACAGCGACAAAAAATGTCATATCTATTTTGTATGGACTAATAAACCTATGGATGCTACCTAAATCAACCATCTTATCCAGTCTACATCTACAGTCGCTGGAACCTCAGTTAAAGCCAAAATTTTTTCATTTTTAAAATGAGTTACACATTTCAAATATTTTCATCAGCCTGACTTTAAGTTAGCTTTTTGCAGTGCACATATTTAGTTAACTTTACTTGTCAGGTTGTTAGATTTTCGTTAATATGCAATTCATTAATTTATTATTATTATTAATTTTTTTCTTTTAGGTGCCAGTTTCCTTTGGATCTACTGCTGGAGAGCTGCAATTTGCTCCAGCTTTCCTCTCAATTGATCGTTGCAGGCTAATCAGCAGGTTACACCATTTGTAATGGAAGGGAAAAATGTTTATCATTTGTTTAGATATTTTTAATTTGGGCAGTTTTGTTAATTTGTTAAATTTAAAAAGTACTCAGTGTCTGGCCAGTATTTATCTGTTTAATTAAGTTTATTTGTTTGTTGGTTTGACAGTCAGTTATCCCCTTGTGTGTCAACAGTAGTCTGATCAGTCACTATTTAAGTTTCCCTCATGTCTTGTGGTCAGTTTGTGCTTTATTTGTTCTTTATGTTAGTACCTGAATTGAAGTCTGTTTTGTTGACCTCTGTTTCTGGGCCCAGGTTTTCGTTTTTTGAACGCTTTTTTGAAATAAATTAAGACCTTTCATGAAAATGTTCCG